GTCCACCTGCCCAGTAAACTTCCTGGGAGTGCTCTCTCAACCCACTACATCAACTTCCACCCCACCTGCTCATTGATTGTTCACCTGCAGTCAAATCTGCACACTCTACAACATTAAAGCACCTCCCTGACTTTATTTCTTTCTGATCAATATCAGATTAAGTTTAGTTAGTGATCGAATTCTACCCCAGATATGCTTGGGAAGTTCCCATATTAATCAGTGGGAATTGTAAAGGAATAGTGAGTGAACAAATAGGTAACCTGTACAAATGATTTGTAGTTATTAATAGGTCTGAGAAGAGCCTTTTACTGGTAGGTCAGAGGAATTAAATGAGGCGTAATTGTCTGAAGCTAAATATGGACACCATTCCATTAAGTATAAATAAAAATATATATATTTGGTTGACAGTGAAGTAAATTAAGCATTGAGAGAACTCATATTATTAATTAGAGCTGTTCAATGCAGGTTAGATAAAGTCCTAAGGAGATTGTTCTAGAAGGTATTACTTGAATTAATCATGGCCTACATGATATAAGAAAGCTTTCCCAAATCTATCATCTTTCATTCTCCACTTTTGTGCCACAACCAGATGCTATGAGGCAAATGATTACCAGATTCATATGTGGCACTGTTTCTCTCTTTCTAATTTCAGCAGTATGCAAACTAATTATACAATTTAAAGACACACCCAGATAGAAAATATATAGTACAAATAACTGCGAGGAATGATGAGAGGAGTGCAAGAGGGAGATAAGGACTGTACACGGTGGTGTGGAAAATAGTATGAAGTACAAGTGAAGTGTGAAAAGGCCCCATTACTCAGAAGTGTTGAGCAAGACCACCACTCTCAGTGAGTCTTAATGAAAACTCCATACTGCATTGTACCATTATGTATTATATTTCTGCAACATATTTACAAAAATCCTATTTTAAAGAATTTTTTTAAAAATTCTTTGTTATGTTTAATACCTCTACATCTATAAGACCAAATGCAAGCTTCACACGACGATCTATTTATTAACAACCAATTGAACTGCTAAGACTTTGGAGGAGGAATACAGCTGTCATGAATTCATTGCAGAAACCTCTAACAATGACGGAAATCAGCTTTGTGGTGTGTAATATGCCAGCAGCTTTAAGGTCTGATTCACTGTGCCCTTCCAAGGGTAGACTCAAGAGAGGAATGTTTGTTTTCCTGTGTTACAATGTCCTTATTTCTAGCTCTTGTGAGTCCCAAGATATTAACTGTAGGTATAAGTATTGTTGTCCTCTGTACTGAGTGAAGGGTAACTCTGCATTTATCTGAGGGTACATCTAGACTACAAGCCTCTAGAGAGCGTCTAGACTGCAACCTCTTCTTTCAAAAAAGTGAGCTGCTTTTTTGAAAGAGAGCACCCAGGCAGTCTGGAAGCTCTGTTCCGAAAAAGCCCTGTTTGCATTCAAGAACGCCTTTTTCTGAAAGAACACTTTCGAAAAAAGGAGTTATTCCTCATGAAATGAGGATTACCACCATCGAAAGAAAAGCCGCATTCTTTCAATTTAATTTTGAAAGAACGCGGCTGTAGTCTAGACACAGGGGAAGTTTTTTTGAAAAAACCCTGCAGTCTAGACACAGCCTGAGAGAGAAACAGTTTTTTGACCAGTGGTATTTACAAATGGGGCTCTTTGAAGCAGCCCAGTAATTTAGACCGAGAGGAGTGGTCTGAGAAGAAATGAACGCATGAGCAGAGTTTTAGAAACAGTGAAAGTATCATAATCAAAACAATTCATCACATGGATATCATTACTACATAGGAATTTGAAGTATGTTATGTATATTTTATAATACACACTATATGTAATATTCAATGCTTTATATATAATGGTGATTCCAATGAGACTACACAGGTGCTCAGAATAAAGCACATGATTAAACATTTTGCAAAACTGCAGCCAAAGTGCTCACTCCAGTTTCAAACTTTATGTTAAAAGGGCCTGACTTCTCTCTCCCTCAGAAAATTTAGGCTCTATTGCCTGGATTAAAGAGAGAGAGAGAGAGAGAGAGAGAGAGAGAGAGAGAGAACATAAAATACTACTGTTGTAGTATAAAATAAAACTTGGTAATCAATAGACATAAACATGTCCAGAGAATGCTCCCTCATGATCCCATGGTGGTGGATGGTCACAACATGCTAGTGCTGTGTTGAAGTGGTAATTTGTATCAAAAGACAGAGACAAACATACAAATGCCTGTATTATATTATTTTTCTGTATCATTGTTGCCATGGGAATTTTATGCGTAATCCTCATAGGATGGGAAGAAGAAGGTCCACCGGAGAAACTCTGCTACAATGTGCTCCATACTACGATCTATACCTTGTAACTTTTATCTGACAAATTTCTTCAACCTTGACTTTATAATTCTTCATTGCTATTACTCACTTGTTTTTACAACTCTAACTGATTTATAATAACAGGACCATTAAAATGTACTTTAAATACTTGCCAAGTCTCATTTCCTCTGCTGATGATATATCAATCATCTGTTGAAATAAAAATTGCAGATCCAGGAAATAATTGACATTTTTAGGTACAATCAGACACAAATAAATATTTGATTGCACCGACTTATATCACTACCTTACAGGCATCATCAAGAGGGCTATATAAAGAAAGTAGAACTATATTATTGACAAAAAAGGTAAATAATGTTGTCCAGAGGTAAGGCAAACCACAGTAAATTTACCCTTATATGAAATAATTTCTTTCATGCTTGGAATGTTTGCATCCTCCTTGCAGAAACTCTTCAAGGACTTCACTTCGATAGCGACAGATAGATTTGTTCTGTGCTGAAGTTTATTAAAATACTTTTTAGGAGTAGAAATTAGATTTCAATAATACTAAACAAACAAACTAAGGATCTTTTGCCTTTTTTAAGAACACGTTTTATGTATGATTGAAGTTTATACAACACTCCAGAAAAGCCATCGTGTGTTAGATTTAAAAATAAAATCAGAAACATTTTCTCCCATATAGGTACACTTGAAAAACTGGGAATGTTAATGTTTTCAGAAGTCTTAGAAAGTGTATGTCCAGCTTTGTACCAATACCCATTTAACAAAGCAGAAGTAAGATACTGTACTGTAAACAAAAACCTACAGTAAAGGACATTTTGAAATTTACACGAGAATAGTTCATAAACATTTTGGTTGTTCCATAATTTTTCATACAAAATGAATAAAAAATCCCTTTGACAGCTGTCATCATTCTTGACTACTTTTTCACTTAAAAGCACACAGACATACTTATATAGCAATATACTGATGTACCGTAACATGAATATTAAACTACGATTACTGCTTTTTAACCGAGATGTGTATTATCCAATCAACATTATCTGTAATTGAAATACTCATACATTATGTATTTCAATCATGTTGTAAGTATAAAAACATGAAAATATAACTTTACAATATTTCAATTATATACATTATTTCAGGCTTGACAAAGGAAGATTTAACACTACAGTTTTTAGAAGAGTTGGCCCAGAGATACAATAAATAGTTTTCCATTGTGTACAGTATTATAATGTTACTTTTAAAAATGTTTTTCAGTACCATTTGAATATTCCTAGATTTCAGTTTGGTCATTCTAGCATTGAATAATAAAACTCTGACTGCATCCCCAGATTCCTGATGAAGAGCAATGCACAGAACACTCAGCATATGCAGCTGAGAAATGGTTAAACTTCATGATATACAGCTTACTAGCAGAGGGCTTGATATTGCAAGCACTCTCTATTTATAACTATGGCTGACAGAAATAGAAGTACCGTATACATGTGCTTTTAGAATCAGGCCCATGGTTTGTACCAAAAGAAGAGATTTAAAAGTTTCTCATGAAGATACAATGCACTATTTACTTGAATTTTAAACAAAATGTATTGAAATCTAAGGAAATAATTCCAGCTAAATCCATTCATTATTATGTTACAAATTTTATTTCAGTGAGAAACAAAATAAGGGCCTTGTAGTACTGCATGAGGGATATTGTAACTTTTTGTAGTCACAATACAGAGAAATATAAGCTCTTTAAATATCTGGTATGAAGGCTAGGGAAGTACTACATTGATTTGGATTGCATTAGCACTTAAATGAATATTACTATGCCCCTTTTAGAATTCATTTTTGTG